CAGTTCCTGGCTTGCATTTTCTTTCCAGTAAGAGGTACTCGGCTCATCCAACTAATCAATCTCATCTCCGTTCTTTCTAATTTGGCTTGCCTTAATTGATTATGTCTCGCTGCCGTATATGCAACCTGACATACACAGCTTGCTTAAACTTTTCCCTTTAAAGCTAGGAAGACGTTTTATTGGTTAAAATTGAAGACATCTCTTTAAATTTAGTACTTCATATCCCCACCCTCACTGTCAGGTCTTTACCTCCATCTACACTAATCGCCTATGGAAATCATACATACCTCTTTAATGCACTTTCTACTTACAAACGACGCTTATTGCCTTCTTCCGGCTTCCCTTTACTCCTACACCTATTGTGCATCCATTTAAGACAGCAGGTACTAATGATGAAGTCTCTAGAAACACTTTTCCCAAATACACACGGGCACATACCTGCCTCCTCTCTTTTCTAACAAATCTTTATGTTATCTAAGTTGAAATTGCGTTTTCCAAAAATTTTATCAATTTTGATATTATTTATTTTTTTTTACTGATAAAATTTAAAAAAAAAAATTAAATTAATAAATATATTACGAAAAACATCTCAATAATTGATCTAATTTTACCAACCATTTTTTTTAGTGATCCTTAACTTTAATGTAAATCATATCGTTGGCTGAGTTTGAGTATTATAATGTTCCAATACACTTTTTTACAAAATGCTTTTTTTTGATAAATGAAATTTTTCCAATAATAAAAATATAAATATATAACGAAAATAATCCTTTGCATCATCACATGTAATTAGTGTTGTCAAACTATTCGATTTAAGCCCATTTTTAAAAATGGCTACTCAACATTTTAGCCAGAAAAATATTGTCTAAGCCTCGAGATTTCGTTAATAGATGTTAAAACCTTTGTGCCACCTATTAGCAAAATCTTAAGGCTTGCATAATATTTTTCCTAATAAAATATTGAGTTAGCCGTTTAACAACACTTTGTGTTCTCTTATATAGGAAATATTTCTTTTTTTAAAAAAAAATGCTTTTTCGAAGAATTTTTAAAGAAATGGATATAGAACACTATTATATTCAACCGACAATATCTAGTTATAATCCGGTCCCGTGTAATTCATCTTTTGAGTTCGTAAGATGATTCGGACCAAGTGGCATACTTTTCCTCCCTTCACCGCCCTCTAAAGGTCTTCATTGTTTTCTGTAACAAAATAGGAAATTTAAAAAAATTGAATGTACGCCAATACAAAACAGGAAAAACTCTATCATCCTATATTGAAATTTGAAAAATAAAAAATTGAAACAATTTAATGTACTACAATGCAAAACATGGGAAAAACTCTATCATCTTAAATTGAATTTTAAAATGATATACTTTTTTAAATTTTCTGTTTAACAAAAGAGAAAATTGAAAAATAATTTAATGTACCGCAATGCAAAACACGAGAAAAACTCCATCAGCCTAAATTGAAATTTGAAATGAAATTTTCTGTTTAACAAAATAGAAAATTGAAAAACAATTTAATGTATTACAATTTTACATCATCAAAAATAGAATTTTGAAATGATATACTTCCTTAAATTTTCAGTTTAACAAAATAGAAAATTGAAAAACAATTTAATTACAATGTAAAACAGAGGAAAATCTCCATCATCAAAAATAGAATTTTGAAATGATTACTTTCTTAAATTAACAAAATAGAAAATTGAAAAACAATTTAATGTGCTACAATGTAAAACACAGGAAAAACTCCATCCTAAATAGAATTTTGAAGTGGTAAAATATACCTTAACTCCTTAAGTAAAAAAAAATGGATATAAAAATTATTTTCAAATTTTAGAAATTGAATTTAAATATTTTGGATGATATTTAAAAACAATTGATTAATGGCTCATGTAGACTTTTTTCCAGAAGCCCTTTTCATATTGATATAAGATAAACTATTTAGCGCATAGAATTGTTTTATTTTGTCGTAAATTAAACCTAACATTTTTTTCCCCTTTAAAATTGGTTATTGGATTTTTAATATAAGTTGAAATATCATTATATATGTATTTATCTGGTGTTGTTAAATTATTCTATTCGAGCCGATTTTTAAAAACGGTCCACTCAATATTTTAACCAGAAAAATATTATGCAAGCCTGATGATGCACAAAGGTTTGGATCTATTAGCGAAATATCGAGGCTTAAGTAATATTTTTATGGCTAAAATATTAAGATAGCCGTTTTTAAAAATCGGTGAAATCGAGTCGTTTAACAACACTATTTTTTATTTATTGATAATGTAATTTTCAAAATAGAAAAATGAATCTAAATCTATTAAATTCAGTGATGAAATTATTAAAGTATTTTGATTTGCATTACTCTCCACTGGAAAATGTCTTTTTGACCATGCCCTATGCTAGTCCATTTCTTAGATCATTAATATAAACCACACACCACAACCTATTATATATTCTAATGTAATGTTGTTAAAAAGCCCGATTTTAAAAAACGGTTCGATTAAGATTTTAGCTAAAATAATATTATGTAGGCCTAAAGATTTTGCTAATAGATGGCAGAAAGGTTTGAACATCAATTTGTAAAATCTTGAGGCTTACATAATTGGCTAAATCTTAATCGGATCCTTTTTAAATCTTTTTTGACAACACTTTTCTAATGGATCCGCCTATTCGGATGCTCTGGCTGGGCCTTCTGGGGAAGGTCTTTCTCAGTTTCTGACAACATTTTATTGTATCATTAAATTTTCCATCACCTTAAAATAACTTTTATTTTTTATGGAATATTTTAACGTATTCATAGAAATGAAAGTGTCAAGCAACAACATGGTCGCTAAAATTTGGGGGCGTGTGCTTAGCACACCCAAAGTATTTATTTGAACATTCTTATTATTCTTTGAATGACAAAATGCCTGACCTCATATTGCTCTAGATATCGCTCCTGTCATACCTACACTGCCCACACCGATAAATTAATTAACTATCGAAAAACCGTTCGGTTTAGGGTATTTTTTTTTAAAAAAAAGAAGATATATTTGATTTAATCATTAGACGAATTTAAATATTTTATATAATATTTCTTGAAAGGGTCAAGGGTATAGATATAATTACATATTAAAAACTATTTTCTCGATAAATTTGTAAAAACCTCACTATTTTAAGGTAATCTTTTATTTTATAAGTATAATATTCTTTTTTAGACATCCCAATCGACTTCGTATTCATTAGTTTTGAATAATTGTGGTTATGATATATATATAATATTTTTATTATTACTATTTTCTTAAAACAGTATAAACGAGGATTCCCTTATTAGGCAAAATTACACACTATAATTTTTTTTTAATGTAGTAAATATAGATAATGTTTTAAATTATTTATTTTTTTAATTACAAAAATAATGAAACAAAAATATGAATGATTTTTAATACATAATATACATATATTTATATAAATTATAAACATCAGCAAAAAAATACGAAACAAAGTTCACTGTAAAAGTGAGTAAAACAAAACAAAAATGCATATTATATTGCTTCAAAATTTTGTTGTATAATTTGGTTCACGCAGAAAAGCAGAAAAGAATCCATGTGTGTTGTTTTTTTTATATATATTTGCCCATTATTACTCATTAAAGATTACACTATAATTTTTTAAAAAAAAAAAATAATTAAAATAGAAGAATTATTATTTAAAATTTAAAAAAAATATCGGTTTCTGAAATTCTGAATATTCTCGATATCAGCTTGAAACAAAATTTATTATAAATTATAATATAAGTAATTGCTATCATATCATGACTAACTTAACTATATATAACTGCTTTTAACACAAGAAATTTATAGATCGAATCGTTAAGCAATAGCAACATATTTTTATATGAAAGAAAAGAAAAACATACACATATGCTAGATTATCTCTTATTTTCTAGTTCAATTTATTTATTTTTTTTATAAAAAAAAACTTTTATTTTAACAATAATAATTATTCAATAAGTTTAATGTTAAATAAAAAAAATTTAAATATTATAAATGAATAAAAAAATAAAGAATATCGATAAATTCCTTACTAAATAGGAATTGGGAAAAAAATCATGCCCCAAATAGATGATAAAAAAAAATTTAAGTGATAATCATGATAGGTTTGGTATTAAGAGAAAATCCTATAATTATTAAATTAGATATACACCAAGTCAAGAACACTGAATAATTTCGAATTCTGGAATTAGGGCAAAATATAAAAATCGAATTCTACTATCCAAGCACTTGAATAATTTCGAGTTCTAAGATTTGGGCAAAATTTATAAACCGAATACGATTATCCAAACACTTGAATAATTTTGAGTTCTGGAATTCGGGATAAAATTTAAAAACCGAATTCGACATCTCGTATCCGAAAAAATAAGGGTGGATACAGGAAAATAATATACTCATTTTTAGATATAATTATCTCTATATTAGATATTTAAAATAATAAAATAAATAATCCAAAGAAAGACATTTTAATCGAACACATCAAAATCGCAAAAAAAACTTGGCCTCATCCAATTTAAATTTTTCCCAGTTGGTTCTAACTGTCAAATTTTACTCATATATAATAATTATTATTCCTATTGATTCCAAATTTTTGACTTAAAAAATCACTTTTTTTGTCAAGACATTTTTTTTTGAACATAAACTAGTCTCATAATTAAATAACTAAGGATGCTCATTAATTATCAATATACAATTGGAATTTATCTTTTAATTATAATAATATTTTTTAAAAAATGAAGAAGATTATTATTGGAGGAAAAACAAAACAAATTATTTTTTTTTAATATTTATTTAATTTTTTTTTTTCCAATAAATAAGTTATCCTCTAAAAGGTTAACAAATGGAAGTTTGCTTAATATGGAAAAGATGTTTTAAGGAATAAACAAAGCGCATCTTTTTCCAAAACCATAATAATTCTTGCTTTTTAAAATAATAAATGAGAATACAATATTTTATTTTCCAATATTTTAAATTAAAATTATTATATCGATAATTTTTTTTTGCTAATTTAACTTTTTACACACAAGTATAATATTTTTGTTTAAACTTTTTTTAATACATCACAAATTTTTATATTTCTTCTTTGTCATAAAAATTATATTCTTATAAAAAGTAAATTGCATTATTTAAAATATATTTATTGATTGAATTAATATTTACAAATTTATCGGAATTTTTTTAGGCTAATTTTAAACTATTTTGTCATGGATCATTAATTTTTAAATTTATTAATTTATAAACCCATTAAATTTTAGAAATAATATTATCTATCATCAATATAAAAATATTAAAACTTATAAAAAGATATTTTAAAATTTTATTCTTATATCTTTTTTTCTGATATTTTTGTAAAGTAAGTATTTTTGAAATTTTTAAGGAATAAAATAAAATATTAATAATTATTGATTATTAAATATTAAATATATTCTACTTTATTTAGAAGATTATTCATATTACCATAGTAATATTTTAAAAGATTTTTCTTCGTTAAATTTTTTAGAAAAAAAAATTCTTAATCTATCAAAATGTGCGACGATGATATAGCAGCATTAGTTGTCGATAATGGATCTGGTATGTGCAAAGCCGGATTTGCCGGAGACGATGCTCCAAGAGCAGTATTCCCATCCATAGTTGGTAGACCGAGGCATCAAGTTTGAAATAATTTTAATTTATAAATATATCACCAGCAAATCCTCTATATAATTTTTTTTTTAAATCTTAGCAATGAATTATTGACTTTTTAACCGTTTTATAATTAAAAGAAAAATTGGACTACCGATCATTTAAGTCTGACTTAATAAATGAATCCCTTGTGTTGGGGTTATCCAATTAAACTTTTCTAAATTTTATCTATAGCTAGTTTCTTTTCTAACAGGTGGGGAAGGGGGCTAATTTTAGTTTTTCTTATTTCACGTTAATAGGTAATTTTATCTAAATTTTTAATATATTTGTCTAAAATTAGCATTTAAAAAAGAAAATTAATTCTACCTAAAATTTGCCAAAAAAGTACCATATCTTTAAAAAACATTTTACTCAGCGCCGTGCCCTCCTGAAGATGTTACTGACACCCACCCTAAGAATTTTTGATAAATTTTATTATTAAATTTAATAAATGTTTTTTTTTTAAATTTTTTATCAAGAATCTATTATGATTTAAAATTAAAGACACAGCAAAATTGTCTAAAAATTCATTGAGTTAGTTAATACTCTTCATGGAATATATTTACTCTCGAATCAAATTTTAACAATAGCCTTCAATAAGATTTAAAATAAAATTCCCCAGTCTTAAGTTATTTTTTTCTCATGAAAAAACTCTCATTAAAATCATAACAATTAAAATATCAAAATAAGGTAATTAAAATGTGGTTAAGAAGAATATATAAATATTATTTTTTTTTTGCAAGTCAAAAAATTTTACTTTCAAATAAATAAAAATGTTTTTTAATTTAATTTACACAACAACTGCTTTACAATCGATTTCTGTTTTATGAATTAGAAACTTATATTTGACAAGTTTTCTTTATTATTTTGACCTTATTTTTTACACTTTTTTTAATCATAACTATTAGAAAACTTTATCGGCTCAACCGATCGCCTAAATTTTTTCGAATGATTTAGTAATTATAAAATATTGATCATGAAGTAAATCAAGGATAAATTTAAAAAAAAATTTAGATCAATCACAATGACATTCGAAACTTAAAAAAAAAATTTTGAATTTGTTTTATTATTATTTTAAAAAAAAAATTATTATTGATTTTCATGAATAAAAAAAGTGTGTAAACTAAATTATTTACATTATCGGTGCACCTAAATTCCTTGCCCATTTATGGAATTCATGTTTTATTTGTTTTTTTTATTGCTATATAACTTTTTGTTGGTGCTTTATTATTATTATTATTAATTGTGTTGTGTTTAATATTTATGTTAATTTTTAAATAAAAAATATGTATATTAATTAATTTAAATCAAGAAAAGTTATATGGAAAAAACTATACGATGCTCTGGCCGTTGTTAATTTTTGAAAATTTGAAATATGTTTTTTATAAAAAAAAATACACCGTTTTTATTAGTGACTTAAATTTTATCGAAAAATAACGGTTTTTTTAAACTTTGAAATATATTTCAATTTTTTCTTAAAAAAGTACCAAGATCCTTTCACCGTAGAATTGATCTAGCAATATAGTGTTGTTAAACATATCGATTTAAACATTTTTAAATTAAGATATTTTTTTAAAGTCTCGGGTCTGAAAAATATAAAAATAAATTTGAAGTAATTTTTTTTAAATAATAATTTACTTGTGTTAAGGGAAAAGCAAAAGGGATTAGTGATTTTTATTTATTTAATTTTAATTAAAAATTTCAGGCCCTGGAAGTTTGAGTTCGGGTTGAGAAAATGGAATTTGACTCCACATATTTGTACTAATTTTTTTTCTCCCCAAGCAGTAAAATTAAAAATTTTAAAACCCGTTTTGAACCAGTTCGAATATGTTTTTTACGATTTGGTTATCCTCTCAAAATATTCTTATGACGGTTCGGTTACGGTTCTGAAATTTTTCGCTTTTTGAGGTTCGGTTTTTAAAACCCGGCTTGGTTTTTTAAAGTGAAGAGATAGATTTCGATAGTCCTAAAATATTGTTAAAATATAGTCCTAAAATATTGTTAAAATATACAATATCATGTAAATTTAATGGATTTTATTAAATCTTCTGAAACTTAGGAATCTTTTTATTTCTTTTAATTTTAAACGAAATATTAAATTACAGGCAGGATATTTTATTGGGAAATTTAACAAACCTTTATTACCTAATATATATTAGGGTGTGATGGTTGGTATGGGTCAAAAAGACAGCTACGTAGGCGATGAAGCTCAAAGCAAGAGAGGTATCCTAACCCTGAAATACCCAATAGAACATGGCATCGTTACCAATTGGGATGATATGGAAAAAATTTGGCATCACACTTTCTACAACGAATTGAGGGTTGCCCCAGAAGAACACCCAGTTCTTTTGACCGAAGCTCCACTCAACCCCAAAGCTAACAGAGAAAAAATGACACAAGTAATTAGTTGATTATTAAAATGTTTTTATAATATACCCGATGTTCTATTTGTCGATATTTGTCGAACATCCTCGTTTATCTTTTATATTTATAAATATAACCTTTTTTGAAGATTTGCATTACTGATACGAAAAATAACTTAATATTCTTCATCAGATTTTACTTCCCATTAAAATTTACTATTTAACATTTCTATATTTAGATCATGTTTGAAACTTTCAACGTACCTGCAATGTATGTTGCCATTCAAGCCGTGTTATCCTTATATGCTTCAGGTAGAACTACAGGTATAGTACTTGACTCTGGAGACGGTGTCAGCCACACCGTGCCTATTTATGAAGGTTATGCTTTACCTCATGCCATCCTCCGTCTCGATTTGGCCGGAAGAGATTTAACCGATTATTTAATGAAAATCTTGACAGAACGTGGTTACTCCTTCGTTACCACGGGTATGTTAGCAAATGATCCTTTTTTTTTATTACTCAGCTAATTTATTAACAATCAAATCAAATAATTCAACTAATTTTTATACATCATATCGATTAATTAAAACATGAATATTTATCGGTTCTACCCTATAGCTGAAAGAGAAATCGTCAGGGATATCAAGGAAAAGTTGTGCTATGTTGCCTTGGACTTCGAACAAGAAATGGCTACCGCTGCATCCTCTTCCTCTTTGGAAAAGAGCTACGAATTGCCTGATGGTCAAGTCATCACTATTGGAAACGAAAGATTCAGATGCCCTGAAGCTCTCTTCCAACCATCATTTTTGGGTAAAATCTTTTTCTAAACTCAAAAAAATGCTATCAAAAATCGAATGTATTGAAATAAACAGCATTTATTTTTTACTATTCACTTTTAAAAATTCTTTAATAAAATTTAAGAAATTTTCCTTTGAAACAATTTTACAAAATACAACCAAACTTTTGTCAAATCCGGGCCGAACCGTAACTGCTGATTTTTGATATATAAATAAATTCTTCTACCCATATTAAACACCATCTTAATATATGACGTAATATCATTGAAGGTATGGAATCTAGCGGTATCCACGAAACCACTTACAACTCCATCATGAAATGCGACGTTGATATCAGAAAGGACTTGTATGCTAACACCGTATTGTCCGGCGGTACCACCATGTACCCGGGTATAGCTGACAGAATGCAAAAGGAAATAACTGCTTTGGCTCCTAGCACAATGAAAATCAAGATTATAGCGCCACCCGAACGTAAATACTCGGTTTGGATTGGTGGTTCTATCTTGGCTTCTCTTTCAACCTTCCAACAGATGTGGATCAGCAAACAAGAATATGACGAATCTGGACCCAGCATCGTTCATCGTAAATGCTTCTAAGCTATCCTTTACTAGGGTTTTTTTTCTTTTCTTTATGATCTTCATTATATTGATTTCCTCAAAATATCAATCCAATCCCTATTTATTTTCTCGTATTTTTAGATTATTTTTTTTTAAATCTTACAAAAAACCATACGGCTAATAAATAATTATTTGTTAATGTAAATGACATTTTCACACAATTTTATACACATTATAATATTATATGACAACATATATTTTTAAGTATAATTTATGTTTCAATGATTATTTTAAGGTTACACATATATAATAAATGCTAAAACTTTTTTAAAATTGATTTCTATTTATCTTTTTAATACAATTTTTGGAAATTGGATTAATTTATATATATACTTAGAACTATTTTTTTTTTGAAAAGAAAATTTATACGATTAAAAATTTGTTTTTTTTAACTGCCATTTCTAATTAATATGAGCTGTTGCAATAATAAAAAGTATTTCAATAAATATGGCTAAATTATAATTCGTAAAATATACAACAATATATTATTATTATTCAAAGTTTTGACATATAAAGAGAAATTGTTTGCGAGTATGAAATAAATTGAATTTTAATCGAATTGCTAGCCGTACATTGACGTAATGGAGAGATGCGAAATCCTAGATATAAAGATACTTATTATATTGATATCTAGACGAAAATTTGCTTTCATTTCTTTTAAATTGACTCCCTCTTGAATTATTTTATATTTAAAATGATCTCAGAAATTTCTTCTATTTTAAAAAAGTACGTGACTTATTCATTTAAGTTTTGGAATTAGTGCTTCAAAGGGTTAGAAAATTTCTAGCTTAGAACTGCATCTTATTGTAAGATTTCGATTAATATCAAATCAAATTAATAGTATTTAGACATAATTGAATTTTGAATGGAAAATTTGTGGTAAATACTAATCAGACATTACAGCGCATTTATAATTTTCGATCTGGTGGAATTCCAATCTTGGCGATATTTTTTACTTTATCAATTATGCGTTTTTCCTTAAACTATCTATAGTTTGGCGGACATCACGTTTAACGCTTGATTGTCATATTTTTTTGTTTGACTTATAATTCTTTTTTTTTGTTTGGCGAACGTGATTAAAGAATTATAATTAAGGCACTAAATATTATTGCGAATCAAAACCAGATATAATAAAACTTCTATATTTTCCATTCTCTGATATGATGCGAATTAGCAACTTTTTTTTATTTTGCCAATAGTCTTTTTTTCCCTTCTGCCAAGAAGATTAAATCTAAAAAATATACCTACTAATTAAGTACTACATAATGGCTTGGTATACGCTTTAGAATTGGTGTTTCCAATAGTTTTCATTTTGTTCATAAATATATATTTTTTTGTTCCCAAAACCTATTAATAAATAGGAAATGCTAATCAGAAGGCATAGATTTTAAAATGAATTTTTCCAATTGTTCAAACTGACGAATAAGATGATATAATTATATTACATGTTTTAAAATGATAAATAATAATCGCGTGGAAATGCGCCAAAAAGTTAAAAAATTTTCGCAGCCCTCCAGATATCCTAACTAGGCCACTGATTTTGAGTTGATTTACTCCCCCTAAATACAAGATATCAACCAGCAGCGTTATCCAATTTTCCAATTTTCCCATATTCCTTTTTGATTATTATTTAATTATGTAATAACCGTTACATTTTACTAACACAATTATAACTTAAATATTACATCTTTTCACCAAGACCGTTAACTTTTTGGAGTAACATATACAATAGGGACTACTATGAAAAACTATTCCATAAGGAGTTATGTAAAAATCCTCTATGTCCATTAAGACATTCCTGTACCAAGTTTTATTTACGAGTAGATCGCGTCTAAAATCACCATTTTTGAGATTATAATAGATATTTCTTTATAATTATTTGGACAATTAAAATGAAATATCACCCTGACTAAAATAATTAGTTGTTTCCCTAATTCTTTAAGTATTTTATTTTTAAATCAATGATACTATAACCATTATCCAGCCGTTTGTATTTTATCATTTGATATTTTATCTACTTTAATTTTTTTTTTAAATTTTATTCTATAAATATTATTACAGTAATTATTAAAAGATCAGATCTTTTTAAACTTATAAAATATTAATCTCTAAATTTAGTGCTAATTTTTATCTTTCTCCATTTTAAGGTTACATTTTTACTTCTGTTATTTTCAAGATCCTTCCTGCAATTTAGAATTGTTTTCCTTTCTACTTATTTTATTTATATAATTGCTAATTGTAAATCGGGTTTCATTTTACTCTTTTTTCCAGAGCCACTTTCTTTCAATCGCTGCCCTTCTGGAATGCCTATAACTACCGAGTACTTGTACCTAATATTGTTTTTCTCTAATTAAGCAGTATCATTTCCTTAAGCTTTACCGTAAATTATTTGTATCTTTTATAAACATCCTGCGAAGTCTTTCACTAATCTTGCACCTTTCAACTATGTAAATTTACTCTATAAAAGCCTATTCAAATAACCCTAACTCTTTTGAACTAACGGAATAATATATTGTTAGTAATTTTTTTATTACTAGCTAATAATCCGTCAAGAATGACGGGGTTGAGGGGTAATTAGTTAGTTTTTCTCCCTACTTTTATGATAGTTGTTACCTGATATTTGAAAATAATATCTTTTTATTCTTTATAACCCCCTCCCCCCTTCAGGCCAGGTCCCCAGGCCTGCAAAAAAATTTGTTTTAGGTCAATATCTGATCCATAGTTGATTATAGAATTCCCAAGCGTCCAAGCTGATAATAATCTTGAAAAATTTTCCCTAAGCCTAGTCCAATATAATTAATAAAAATATTTTCAAGCCCAGCCCCACCCATAATAATTTTAAAAAAATTTTCTTAAGCTAATTTAAATATATTTTTACTCAAAAAATAGCAATCACTATTAGTCCTAATGAGTTGATCTTAGTCTGTCTGAAGTAAGATTGAGCGGGATTAAAAAGAATAAAAAATGAATATGATTTTTAGAGATTTAGCTATCTCCAGGCTTGAGAAAAAAATTTCAAAATTTTTACGCGTTGGTCAGGTTTGAGAAAAATTTTTTAAAATTATTATGGGTGGGGGTGGGCTTGGAAAATATTTTTATGATTTATAAATATTATGCCTAATGGTTCATGCTCATTATTATGTTGAGAAAATTTTCTCAAGCCCGCCAAGGACCATAATAATTTTTGTAGTTAAAAACTGAAATAAAATATGTAAAAGTCATAATTCATTTTAAAATACAATCAGAATATGAAAGTTGCATGAGAGCCTTGGTTTTTTGATCAGGCCTAGCTGTCTGCAAAAAAAAATTTTCATGCCAATGTCTAACCCAATTTAAAATTCAAAAATCTTCAAGCATCTCTATTTTAAATTTTATTCAATATGATTTCCATCACAAATTTAAATTTTGATATTTCTAATGCTCTTAATGCTCACTGTCACTGTATTCTCCTAAATTTTAATATATTTATAAAATTTATTAATAAAATATATTTAGTACCATACACACAAACTAAATAATTATCCTTAACACCGTCAGCTAGTTATGGTAATAAACGGCAAAATTTTTAAATTTTCAGCTATTAATTAATATATATATATATATAATTAATATTTTAAATTTAATTATATTCAAGTTGGTGCATGCGTAAAGCATACGCCTTTGAAACGGGAGGTTTGTGGTTCGACTCTCGTAGATAGCAAAAAAAATAACATTACATTATTGTAAAAGAATGCCCCTTACTCTCAATCCTTCCCTCTCAAAAATATAACTTAACAATCCAAAACAATCCTTTTCTAACAATTAAATAAATAAATATCAACAATAAACATTACCAACTAGGACAATTTTACAAGTCCAATTTATTCGTACAAATATATAAAATTATCTAAGTATCGTAAACGATAATCATTAAATTGCTAAATCCTTCACGATCCATCCTGGCATCATCCAATATAATGTCTTCTTCACTCCAAACCGCACACAAAAAACACAAGAAAACACTAATTCCCCTGGTAGAAAATAACTGTCATTTGATATATTATATTAAATTTATTTCTTCTTTTTTTCAACAGCTACAACAATTATATAGTCTCCTTAAATTTTAAATACATTAGGGAGATACGAAAACGATCGTGTTTTGATTATGGAGATTATATATTAGATATACACGAATAGTAAATTATTCAATTCCTACGAAAAATTTTTATACCAATAATTCATTATTTGAATTATTCATTATTGAGTAGATCTATTGTGTAACCTCTAATATTATCAACTCGCCCTAAGATTTGACCATATTTCGATATTATTGCTCTTAAAATAATCGTATTTTATTGCTATTACCACTACCTCCATAAGATAAAATTCGTAATCCTTAAGGGAATCATAATTTCGCTTTAAAATTTTAATATCAGGGCTTCAACGGGAAAAATTCCAATCTAAAGATTTTCAAATCTATTTTTCCGCTATTAAATATAAAAGTATCAAAGCTACAACCAAATCAAGTCTCATAGATGTTAAGATTTTTTTATAATGCTAATAATAGTAAAACTTATTTTAGATATTTCGCTTATTTAATTGCTTTTGTGCTTCTAGAATCTTCGTTCTATCTTGTTTGATGGGATTTACTGCTATATTAAACAAACTGAAGAGAAAAAGTAGTATAAAGTTCATAGAATCATAAAATTCAGAAATATTTTGAATCGTGGAAAGTTAACAATGTATTTAGACCAAATTGATTGGTGATAATCTAAAATTCGATATTCAAGATTAAGTCTTATATTTTTATTTATTAGTTAAACATAACTTATCGATGAACTAGTAAGTAATAATCATGCTCATATTGTTCATTGCTTCTAAAATTTTCCTTCTAGCACGATGCCAATTTTATAAAAAAAAATTTTTTTGCCAAAAAGGTTTTCCTTTGAACTATCTACCAAACAGAATTACTGATATAAACTTCCTCGATAATACTTCCAATGTTTGGCTAACTTCCACTTAAGACATGATATTGTAGGTTTTGGGTTCAATTTTTTGATGGCTGGCAAAATTGATTAAAGAATTAATAAGGTACTAAATATTGACGCAAATCAGATAGTTAGAATAGAACTTCTATATTCTCTGTTCTTGCATGATGTCAGTGGCGTAGTTTATAGGGAGGGGGGAGGAAGGGGTCAGCAGAGCATAGTTTTTTTTAGATTTATACTTTCAAAAGACTCAAAAGTGACTTTATATCAAATAAATACCATGAATATTTATATTTTTCTGGTTTTGATGTTAAAATTAGTGTTGTTAATGGCAGCCAGAAAATTATACAAGCCTGAAATATTTTGCTCATGGATGATACAAAAGTTTAGACATTATTCGTGAAATCTCTAGGCTTGAGAAATATTTTTTGGCTAAAATATTGAGTTAGAATCGGCTCAAATCGAGCCGTTTAACAACACTAGATCAATAATTCTAGGACTAAAAGGGGGCCTGGGGGGATTGGATCCGCTCTAAGAAAAATTCCTAGCTACGCCACTGTTTAATATCAATTTTTTATCATTAATTCTTTTCCTACCAACTACCAAAGAGAATAGTGCAATAAAATATACTGTTAAAGCTCTATTTAATGATTTAGTATAAGTTTCAGAATTAGTGTTTCAATGGCTCACTTCAAGCTTAGATCATGACGTCATAGTTTTCATTTTGTTTACAACTCAGTTACTGTGGTTCCTATACTAGAGTGAGAAATTGCATTAAATGTTAGCGTAGGGCTACATATATTTTTCTATATTTTCCATTTTAGCACGATACCTATTTTGGTAATCTTTTTTTTTCTTTATACTGTCTACCAAGCGGATTAAATTAATAAACAATTATGATCTAAACATTGATAAAATTTGCTGAATTAATGCTTCCAGTCACTTTTTAATCTTAAGGTTAGCCAAAATCTTGCTACTATAATTTTTTTTATTTCTACCATACTGTTAAAGTGAGACACTAATAAAGCATAAAACATTGCCCTATTATTGATATATATAAATAAAATATTAAATTCGGTTCTTGTAAGTAACAACCGGCGAATGAAAAAAAAAATGTATCTATAAAAATCTAGCTTACAGCTAAGTCAAAAGAGATAAACTAATTTCCTCCCTTATATATTATCCTTCTCCATTTTCAATTAGAGACACGCAGACCCGGCACATTAGTATTTGGGCCAACAATATCAATAAAATATAAACCTCAGCTGTGGCCCACATGCCTTCCTATCCTATTTATCCTCTTTTTTTTACCTGATTGAATATCACAACTTTCTTTCTTTTAAGAGTTTAAATAGTAGAATTTTTTTTTAAAAAATAGGGTCAAAAATATTTATTATTCATTTTCTAACGATATTTTGTGATATAGAGTTTGAAAATTTTGAATAAAAATCTTTGAAATATATATATTTTTTTAAATTTTTGATTTTCCTCCTAAAAGATTTTTTACCCATTAAAAATACAAATTATGAATAGAAGAAGATAAAACATTTAAATCAAGGTTATTGCTTGAAAATTTAAATTTATAATCATCAAAATAATAGATTTATATAAATAATTCTTTTGAGTTTGAGATTTATTTCCTATATTTTTTTATTAAATTTGAGCCGTGGGCCGCAACGAGCTATATCTAAAAAAATTCCCAACGGGTGGCGGGCGGGTAAAATGGCGCTTTGCAGATCTCAAGTTACATAGATGAAAAAAAAAATGTTTTACTTTAGGAATTCGAATTTTAAACACTGGTTCCATGTTTGCGCACATGATTTATATAGTATTTTGCTAAATAACAACCAAATTTATTAAAATTCGATAAGACCCACTTACTTTTTTTAAATATATGTCCACGGAATCATGCGACTCCGATTCTTTATATCTCCTCCCGTAACACGGAACCACCTAGGTGGCTCCAGAAAACCTAGATATCGGATTAGTGATACAGGCACTCACCGAACGAGCCAAAAACCTGACACGAAAACAAATTGTTTTTGTAAAATAAGGATAAAATTACGACGCTCTCTTAACATTTTAATAAAACGGATAAAAAAAATCAATAACGTTCGACGCAATACATCATTACCCAACAAAATTATAAATATGTATTTAATTTACTTTATAATTAGTTTAATAAAACCAAGTTATTGACTTTGTTAAAAAAAAATTATTTAATAAAATATTCCATAAAATTGCGTTTTGCTTTGGCCATTAAATTATATTATTATATACATAAAAATAGATTAATTTTTTTGTTTAATAACAATTTATAAAAATTTATCTTCTTCGTTTTAAATAAGTTTTATAATGCCGAATTAAAAATAAGTTCGATGCCTGTTTTAAAATTTTATGATTTGAGGGGGAAAAAATTTCTTATTTCTTTTTAATACGTAATTTTTAATTCGTAATTTTGAAAATATAACTCAAATTGTTATTATTTAGAAAATTGAGCTACTCAACGCTGGTGGAGAGACCTAGAGTAGATCTCGGTATTTTATGAAAACGTTTTTAATAAGTAGAACATTGTAAAAAAAATTGGTTTTATCTTTGCTTTTAGGATATTATAATATAATATTTATATTTTTTAGGCAAATTGGCATTTAAGAGAATATCCTATATCACTCTAATAAAATTATATAGCATGAGTGAGAGGTTTTATACGATAACTTTCATAAATTATAAGTGTAGAGGTGTATATGGAAATATTGGATAGAATCTCTATCATCCTAATTCCATCTCCACACTTCAATCATGGTGCAAAATCAATTTAGCGCTAACAACTATATACATTAAATTGGCCTCATAATTTGAAAAGACCAACTTGAACTCGTAAATTAAATATCACTAAATTATCTTTTCATTCCCAGGTCTGCACAAAAATAAATAATTTAGAAATTATGTGATACATGATAATGTGCATCGCTTTCTAATCGTTGTAGAACAAAGCAACGCTAGGTAGTCCTCATTTCCATCCAATTAGATGTTATGAAAAATTTTGGAGAAATATGAGAATTCCTTTAAAGTTTGTGGGCAAGCGGCACTCTGTGGGCTGCTTAAAAGAGATTGGGACAAAAAAACATAGCCCACACCCAAACTTATAAATTAATTCTCATCCAACATTTCTCAAACAATATTAATCCATTCTTTTAAAATAAATTTACTATTTGCAAAGAAGCAGAAAAAGACATATTATGTTATTAATAAGTAGGTTAAATTGAGCTATTATATCGCAATTATGTAAAAACCACCTAAAGGAGTTTATGTCAAGAAAAGCATCCGATTGTAAAAACCTTGCTACAAGATTTCCTAATTATTAAATCAGAGGGAAACTGGCCAACCTGGATAAACCTGGAAGTCGCCATTAAACGGAGAAGAAGATACAATAAATAGATGAACAGAATTAAACAAATTACCTAGAACATATACAAGGACCGGATCCATTATGTCTAACAGTTACTTCGCTCTGACCGCTACTTTATAAAAATAATAATAAACATATTTAAAAGGGCATAAAATTGCTAAACAGATAATTTCTAACTTAATTGGCTAAAAGGAAAATCGACTTATACGAAAAAAAATGTATTATTTTTAATAGTTTTTTTTTAAATTTATATTATATTATAATATTAAAAATAATAATATATTAACAAACCCGTTTTTGAGCCATTTCAAAAGATTTACAGTTTTGATGGCCCAATTTCGGTTCTGATTATTATGGTTTACAAAATTATAATGGTTCCTCCTGATTTACCGGTTTGGTATTCGTTTGATTCCGGATATCTGAATATAACGACGCCGAACATATATTTTGCTTAAAATTATATCTGTCTATCTTCCTTTTATTCCTTCCATTCATTCATCCTTCCCTCCCTATCTCCCTTCCTCCCTCCCACCCGCCCCTATTTGTCCTTTTTTTTTATTTTCTATTAAATTTGACAACGATAGTTTAGTTTTTATTTTTTTATAATTATAAATATATATATTTATTAAATATATGATGTCAAAAACAATATTTGGAAGATCTATTGATTGTGTACAATGTAATATTTGTATTCGCAAATCAGCTCAGTTTGGGACTGAGCTTAAAAATCAAAGTTTTTAATATTTATAAATGATAAAAAAAATATATATGGCACAAAATATAATTGTAATATAAAAAAAATATTTATATAATATAATATGAATAGTTTCAAATATTGCAGCATTTTTTATATATTAAAATTAAATATATATATGTATAGTATAATAGCATAAATATTGAATTCCTAACCTAATTACTAATATTTATAAATCTCATTTCATAAGTTTACATAACATTAAATTTGAATATAATGTCAGCTAATAAATTATAATTCATTATATAAAGGAATGAATAACAACGAATAACCTATTAGTTTGGTGGAATAAGGTAAGCAGGTGAATTGTTTAAATAAGGTAAGAGTTTTCTATCTGGGTACAAATGGTTTTGCCTCATAACAGTTGAATATGAAGGAGGCGGAGATGAAGGATGAAAATTGTTTCTTTGAACTTTTAAGATTTATGTAAATTAGTGAAAGTTGATGAAAAAAAATATTCTATGAATGTCAATCTAATGACGTATATATACATATATATGTCGTATGGGTTTTAAGAATTCGTGTGGATTAGGAATCTTTCAGAAAAATTTTTCTTTGCCAAAAATGTTTTAGAGCCTGAATAGTGATGCAAGACAGCTCAAACCGATATTTATAAACGGCTAACAGAGTATTTTATCCAGAAAAATATTACGCAAGCCGGAAAATTTTTATATGGCACAAAGGTTTGGACATCTATTCGCGATTTCTTGAGGTTTAGTTTTTCTGGATAAAATATTGAGTCAGCCGTTTTTTAAACTCGGCTCAAATGGAGCGATTTTGCATCACTAAGCCTGAAAAACAAAGTATTAAGACCAATTTTGCTCCAAGAATTTTAACTACTTTACAGTATTCATATGATTATTAACACATTTCTAATTTTTTTTTCTCTAACGTTCTTATAAAATTATGTTTTAAACAAAAATAACAATAATTGCAGCTAGTTAAGCCAATTTTATATGAAAGTTGCTTAATCTTTTATAACAACAATTCATATTAATAACTAAATTTAACAGTGTTTGGTAAAATCTGATGGAAAAACCTTTCCATATTTTTTTAATTTATATTTTGCAAATAAAAATTATTTAATCAACTCGTAAAAATTTTAAGTATATAAATTTAAATATCATGTAATAACAATTTGTTCAAGTTTTAAATTTATGTTGTTAAACGGCTAAAAGATTTTTAAAAATGGGCCGAGATTTTAGTCAAAATAATTTTATGTAAGTCTCGAGATTTGCCAAATATAAGTCCAACTACCACCTATTAGCAAAATCTTCAAGCTTACATAATATTGCTTTGGCTAAAATCTTAATTGGGCTGTTGTTAAAAATTTACCCAAACAAACACAAAAAATGGAAAAGTTAATTAAACAGTTCGATTTTTAAAAAACCACTAACAATATTTTTAGCCAAAAAATATTACTCAAGCCTGGAGATTTTTCTCTTAAATGGCCGAAATGTTTGCACATCTATTAAATAAGTTTCGAAGCTTGCGTAAATATCATTTTGACAAAATTTTTTAATTTAAAATTTGCTAAATCAAGTAGTTTAAACAAACAACTGTATATTAATTTGTGATAAAAATATATAATTTTTTGTGCATAAAATTTTTAAAAATAAAGTTACGACAAAAGTATCTGATTATTCACGGGATAAGGTTACATCTTATAAATACTGAAATAAGAATCGGGCAAAATTAGTTCTTTTCAAAATTTAACAAAAACGAATGCTATATAATTGATTTAAGTATTAAAAATTTACTATTGCCCTGAATTGCTAGAGTTCTTACCACATATATACTCTTTTTTTTATATAAAAAAATAATACCTGGATGTGTGTTACGATGGTTGGAATTGAATTCAAAACGACCCGAGTTAGAAGAGAAGCACAATTTTTTGAGGAGGTATTCGAAGCAAAAGCATGATGTTTTAGGTATGTATCGCAAAAATAGGAATATACCTAATATCATTTGTAAGGTTCCGGTAGCTTATACGTTAAGTTCATTTTTTTTTTAAAAAAATCATATTTTTTAATCAAAAATTTAATTAATTATTTTTTAATAATCATCTCTTATCTTTTATGCGTTATGATATCGGTTGACCAGATTATTCATATTATTCATAAAAGCAATATTAATAATATATTAATTTTTTTTAAAAAACCTTAATTTTTTATGGAATACCTTACTAAAATATTTTTAAAAAAATAATAAATTTCAAATTTTTCCTTTTCTTTAAAAAAAATGATATTCCATAAATAATTTATCAAATTTATATATTAAAATATAAATTTAATTAAAAAATATTTTATTTTAAATTATCATGATTCAGATAATAGATTATGGAAAGAAATCATAAATATTATATCTTTACTATAATGCTTAAATAATATTTATTATGTTATGGATTTGATAATTTATTAATGAAATACCTGTTATGAAACTTGAGTCATAATATTTTAAGATTAACTTTTAATTAAATTAATAATATAATTTTATAATCCTATAAACTAGAATGATCTTTTCAAATATATTAGAGATCTGCAGATGTACATTTTGCGCGGCCCGGCCCGAATTATTTTTATAAAAAAAATTTTCGACCCTACTCGGGTTTTATATTTTCAGGCTCGGTCCGGATTTTTTCAAAATATATTTTATTTATTTTTAAATTTTATAGCTAATAATGGCAATTTAAAATTTACGGCCCGGGGATTTTTTAAGACAGACGCCGGGCCTGCAAGTCTCTGAAATATATCTCAATTAGACATCTGCATCGGCCAAAAAATATTTTAAAAAATTATCATAGCCCGAACCGAAATTATTTTTTAAATATAGACCAGCCCAGACCAGAGCCAATTCGGATAGCGAGAAGGAGGGTCGGGCAGACTTTCCAGGCTCTATTCTCAATCTCATGTATTCCTGAGATGCATGATAAAATTTACTATTCGTATTATTTGATTGGTATAATTGCGAATAATCTATTTGTGAAGAATCGAATACAAATTTTTTGAATAGGTCTGTCCATGAGAAGCATGATATTAGATATAAGAAAGCAGTGGTACCGCTAGAACTTGTCATGTAGACATGATCTTTTCCTTTTTTTTGGGTTAATTTTGAATTCCTTATGTTATTTTATGTGGGGGATGGGGGGGGGGGGGGGGGGGGGGGGTGGTAGGAGATAAAAAGGAAATTAGAGTGTATTATCGTCGTTATTGGCTGAGGGTAGGGGCAGTGGCTCTAACAACGGTATGGTGGTGGGGGAAGGGGGGGGGGGGGGTTCGAAGCAACTGCTTCTAAAAATTTGAATGGGGGTACTTTTTTTAAAATGTAATTCTTTTATTGTTTAACTACACACATTCATAACCAAGTGGTTTCTGGTTTATGATATCGGAATCGACCTCGTGATTCCTTCTTCTGATGATAATTTTGAGACTTATGGTTCAGACTGGAAAAACTATTCGTTTATTTTACCTTATCGTCTACTTTTAAATTTTTCTGCTTTCCCTAATTTAACAATTTTGTATAAATATTTATTAACCATTATTACTACCTCATGTACTGACGAAAGGGCCATGTGTTAAATTAAATTAATTTAAACAAGACTTCGTAGTACCATGAAAGATCTATTTCTTAATAATTTAACCATTTTATCAATGAAAAAAAATTTATTTAAACAATTGATGAAATTATAAATTCTTTCACTTTTTCTTTCCTTAATTTGTCTAAATTATTTATTTAAAAAAATATTTTTAAAGTGTATATTTTTTAACATTTTATTTATATTATATATTAAAGATTGATGCAATAAAAATTATTTTTGAAATTTATGGGTGTCAAAACAATTAAACATTTTTCGGGGGGTGGGGGGTGGGGTACTTTTCAGGCGGTATTTTGCTTCTATCTCTCAGAAAGTGTAGGGGCCACTGGGGGGGGGGGGGGTTAGGTGTAGAGGTGTCTGATATTGTTTTATAATATATATACAGGCAAAAGTGATGGCTATTTTATGATGAACGTTTATATTGTTGGTATTATCGCGTAACTCGCCAAACATTCCAAAGGTTATGGCCAATATGAAATTCATGAATCCAAATCCTACCAAGAGAATCGTCCAATTTGATATCGATAGTTTTCTTTTGTCGATCCAACCTTTCCTTAAATCCTAAAAGAAAAACATATGATAATTTTAATTTTATAATAAATTATCTAATTATGATGATAACTTAGTGAATTAAAATTTTAAATAATAACAAGAATACTATTATCCTGAAATAGAAATAGAGTTACCACAAATTATTTAAAATATGTAATGAATTCAGAATTTGTAATCTTGACTAAAATCAAATGTTTCTGTTTTGCCTGTTCTGGATAATTTTTAAAACAAATTGTTCTTATTTCGTTTCCGATAAATTTCCAAAAGAGAAGTTAGGAGTTCTGAAATCAGGGTTCTTTATACATCATTTCCTATGTTATTTTTTTTTATAATTTTTCAAGATAATCGCTCAAGTCAAAGAATGTTTAACTGAAGGAAATTTTTTAATTGGATGAAATATATTTAAAATGAAACAAGTAGATGTCCATACCTTTCTGCCATCTATGAGCAAAATAATCGGACTTTTAACAACACTAATTTTGAAGAAGAAAGATTTTTTGATTCAAATTTTACCTAAAAAATTGTAAAAATATATTTTTTTAAAAAAGCTATAGTAATTTTATGCATAAAAAAATGTTAAAAATGAAAATCAAAAAATTTTTGTTGAAAAAACTTTTATTGGTTTTCTAAACTTTTAACAAATTTAAGATAAAAAATTTTTTTTAAAAAAAAATACAAAATTTTATAAATTTAATGATCGTATTTTATAATAATATTTAATAAAACTTTTTAAATAGAGAATAATCTTCTCGTCAGTAGTAGTGATTAGAGATCTGCAAAAGTAGGCCCGGCCCGTACCCAGCCCGAACAGGCTTGGAGAAATTTTTTAAAATATATCTAAATTTATCAATTTTATGATGAATTTTTTATGTAAAATAAAAATATATGATTTTATTGATAGAAAGTAGACGCCATATAACATATATCGTTTATTTAGAGTAATTATAAATTAATTTCTATATTTAGCAAAAAATTTTTAAAAAAATTTCGGATTCGGCCGGGCCTGAAAAACCAGGCCCGATGCAGATCACTAGTAGTGATAACGGCTCTTAAGATCTTAGTATTACATACGCATCGAGATATCGATAATAAATTCCATCTAATGAGCAAAATATCCAGGGTTACACATATTATATTTTTTGGCTAAAATTTTGGGCTAATTAAAAAATCAAGCCGCTTAACAATTCATCAGAGTAAAAATTAATAATAATTACATTTTAAACCATTTATTTTTATAAAATTCGTATTATAATATAAATAATCGTGGTAAACTGTGAAAGTGAAAGGCATATCGAGTTCATAAACGATCTATCTTTTTTTTAAATTATTTTATATCGCATTTTTGACAAGTGGATTTTGCCTACCTTTTGCCGTATGAGAAAAAAAATTGAAATTTATTGGTAATTCGCTTTTCGATTGTCATAATGAACTATTATCTAATTATTAAAAACCTTTATCAATAAAATGATGAATCTTAAAGAATATATTCTTTAGAGTAAGGCAAAAAAAAATCATTAAAAAATTTTAAAATGCCAAATAGAAATTAAAATTTAGTATTTAACCTGAGTAGATGACATGGCTCGCCTATAACTATCGTACCACCTCCGCTCTAACTTAGCCGGAGAATAATAGGTAGGAGCTGATCCTCTAAATAATCCGCCGGGACTAAATATGCTATTATTAGCGTTTCGAATGCTTGACAGTGTTGGGTTGTTAAGAATTTGGCTCGCCGGGGTAGTTGTTGATGCAATAGACGTCGTCATGTTGTTGTTAACCAGGCGGTTGGTCATAGTATGAATAGATAGTGGAATCACATCAGTTGGAACAGTATAAATTTTAGTGTTATCTCTGGTTGAATAAGGGGGGTGGCCATGATAATTGATAGGCCTGATAATACTGTGATCGAATCTTCTAGGGGCCATAATTTGGTTCCCATTCGATCTGGATAGTAGACCATTATTACTATTTAATTGGAACGTAGCGGGAGGGGTAGGGACGGATAAGTGATAGAATGTTGGAATAACAACCTGTTTAAGTTTGGTTTTATCGGGAGCAGTGGAGTAATGGGTTAATTTCATTTTTATTTTATTCAATGTTATATATACTTCTTTTTTTAAAGAATTAAAAGTGTGGATTAGAAGATACAATTAAATAATTTGTGCCATGCGCTATTTTCGCATATGTTTTTTTTAAAATGATTAAAAATTCACATATTTTATGAAATTCTTTCACTTTGTGGTGTCATATTTTATGTTCTTTAAATATATAGTTATTTAAAACATATTTATGAAAAATTAATTTTATTTTTTTTTAAAAAAAAAGTAAATATTAATTTTATTTACTGTTTATGTATAATAAAATTTTGAAAAAAGTTTTTTTTAAAAAAAATGTGGATTGGATTATGATGTTTGATTATTATAACATCACAAAAATATTCGTGATTTTCAATATAAAAATAAATGAATACACATAATAAATTTTATTTATAATTTGTCATTTTGTGTTATATCATTATTTAAAGTCCTCATAAAAATTCTTTTTATAGATAGAGAATAGAAATTTACAACACACAATATATCCTCAAATTAGGTTTTAATTTTTTTATAAATAAATTATTCTCTTTTGATTTTTGAATATGAAGCGAGTCTGTCACATTACCCCCATCCTATCCCATATGAATTAATTTATTTTTTGTTAATTGATATCCTTTATGTTTATTTCTCATTCTTTATAATATTTTCACAAAATGAAACATTTTAACATCTGTTTGGAACGCGTTTAAGATTAGTATAGTATACTAGTAAAAAAAATAAATTTAAATTTAAAATTTGATAATTAATGGGAAAAAAAAGAAGCTTTAAAAATTAACATAAAAATAGTTTAATTATACTTTTCTTATACCAAAAAAATTGTCACTAACTTGTCATTTTTAATAAAATACCGATTAATTACATTACATATACAATATAGAAAATATGAAAACAAACAATTGATTTTTAGGAAATTCAAATTAAATATTTTAAAATTCGGACAAATTATTATAGGCCTTTTATCGATTGGCCCTTTAAAAACTGAAAATCGTTTACGTAAAATTATCGATTGATAATTTCTTAAATTAAAAGGATAAAGATCAAAAATGATGTATATTGGTCTCATAACATTATTATAAGGTTTATAAAATTTGTTTTTTTATTATTATTATTAAGTTTATAATTTTACAAAATAATACAAATTAAGTTTATCTATAACTATTATTTGATTGTCAAGAGTAGTGTTGTTAAACGGCTCGCTTTGAGCCGATTTTCAAAAACGGAAGTCAATATTCTAGCCAGAAAAATATTGAACCTCAAGATTTCGCTAATTGATGTCTAGACCCTTGTGTCATCTATGAGCAAAATCTTCAGGCTTGCGTAATATTATTTTGGATTAAATATTGAGTTACCCGTTTTTAAAAATCGGCTTAAATCGAGCCGTTTAACAACACTAGTCAAGAGATCTGACAATTTTGGCCAAATTAAATTTACAGGGTAGTTAGTAGATGGTTATAAATTGCTAAAACATAAAAAAATTAAGAATATATTTCTATTATTTCATTGAATAAATCTCTTAATATTATGTAAGCAATATTTCCAATTTTTAGATTCAATTTATAATGTTTCGGCTGATAAGGTGTTTTCATGACAACATAAATTATAATGAGTGATTGTATTATAAGAATTTTGTTTCAATTTCAATAATTATTCAATTCTTTATATATCTCTTAAAATATTAACATATAGGTAGAAACAGGTGATAAAGATCAAATCAACTAATTCAAAATTATGTTTTTGTTTTCTATTAATCAATTTATTCCCTTTTTTTGAGTACAAATTATTTTATTATTGATAAAGATTTTAAAAAAAGTTTTATATCACCTTTTAAAAACCTCTCCATTGTACAATATTAGTAATCATTTAGTTTGGACATTACTATCCGTTTTTAATAATGTAAATGTGTAATGTTTAATGCAATGAGATAGGAGGGGATGGAATAAGTAAATATTTGATTAAATGATACATCATATATAGACATATTTTTCTTACGTAATATTTTTAAATAAGTCATTATTAAAACTACATAAATATGATTATTCTTTTTCGTATATAGGTGTAAAGGTTATATTATTTCATTTCTAAGGAATATGATAATTTTGGCTGATAAGTTATTCTCTTACCTTATGTATTAATTTTAAAATATTTATTTTTAATAATATTTATCAGAAACTTGCAGAGGTAGAATTTGCAATTTTTACGGCCGGCCCGGCCTGGCCTGGTTTTTTTTTAAAAAAAAAATTTCAGACCCGGCCCATATTTTTTCATTATATATTATATTTATTTGATTTTTATAGCTAATAATGGCGATTTCAAATATTTGGTTTTAAAATATACGGCCCGATTCGGCCAGGATTTTTTTTAAAAAAAATTTTCAGGCCCGGCCCAGCTATATTTTGAAAAATGCCGGGCTTAGGGTCGGGCCTGCAGGTCTCCGATATATATATATAATTGACGTTTATGGGTTCTGTTACATATTTTGTATTTAGTCATATAATTTAGAGAACGGCAGCTGTTAAAATTTTCGGCCTGGTCCAGCCCCAATTTGAATTTTCTATTTATTTTTAACCCCGGACAGTGATACATTCCCGGATTCTTTATTTTTGATCATTACCTAGTCACACAAATTTTTAAAATTAGATTTTAAAATAATTTTGCAAAAAATAAGCAGTAAATGAATATTAATTTTCCTATATTTTCTCACTCACGGATTAATTGATGTAATATTAAAGTGCCATTATCTAGTGTTCATTTAAATTTAGATTTTATAAAAAATCATAGTTAACCTCCTCTCCCCCGTCAATCACGTTGAGGCCTCATTAAGGATAAAATTATTTAATTTTAAAAAGTTAATTTATGTATTAAGAGGGTACACGCCCCCACCCGACCCTCCAGATTTCAAGAATACAATTGATTAATGATTCGCGTGTTATCTAGCTCTAGGTTATATTAGTATATAGTAGGAATTTGCAAACGGCAAAAAGCGATACTATAAAATTAGCCAAAAAAATACCGCAAATATTAAGAAACAAAATATATAACATGCTTAGAAAATAAATAGTCAAATTGTTGGATAGATATAATCTCTTTTTTAATAATAGGAGCACTTTTATCAAGTTAGCAGTTTTCTTTCTGTTCGTAGTTGTAACAATAACCTATCTAGTGTTGTTAATTAGCCAAAAAATATTATGCAGGCCTGAAGATTTTATTCGATAGCAGAAAGATTTGGACATCTCTTACCGCGAGACTTGAGTAATAATTTTAAGCCAAAATAATGGGTTAGCCGTTTAACAATAACACCTGAAACACCTCTTCTAACATATCTAGAAACCGTAAGAAGGAGTATCAATTTTAAAAATTTCAAGTAAACAATGTAGGAGAACTGGATCTGACAAAAGCGGGAATAATTTATATATAACTATCGTTCGAAATGTTTAGTGATTCATTATGGGGTTTATTATTCTTAAAATAAAAAATTAATGCAAGCCTGGAACGAGGACCGAAAACTCTCAGTAACGAAAACACTGACCCTTTTTAAAAAAATTTAGAAACCACATACCCTTTTTTTTGATAAATAATTCAGAACCGGAACTAGAACTGTCTTTTAGTCAAAGTTCTGGTTACGTTACAACTTGCAATATATAATATACCTGCAAAAATATAAATCGAACCTTATATATCTTTAATTTGTATTTTAGAATTCAATAATTGTATTATTCGATATCGTACGAATTGAATAATTCCTTATTCGTAATCTTACTAATAATCATTATAGATTTGATTCGTCGAATTGATTCTATTCGAAAGTTATGTTATTTAAAAATAATTTTATTTTATATAAAATTAATTATACAATAATATTATTTTTTTATAGAAATTTGGTTTTAGTCAATATAAAAAATTATAGTAGAAAGCTATAATAAAATAATATGTTTTATAAATAAGCATCTTTCAACATTTGATTTTCGATTACGACCATATCACGTTGAAAGCACCGGTTCCCTTTCGAACACCGAAGTTAAGCAACGTTGAGCCTGGTTAGTACTTGGATGGGTGACCGCCTGGGAATCCCAGGTGTCGTAATCTTTTTATTTTATTTATTTAAATGTATGCTTTTATTTTATTTTATATTATTCTTATAAACATTGTATTGTCAAATTTACCTCTAACCTATTTCTTTTTTAAATATCCATAAGTGTGAATTATTAAATAATGTAACGATCTAAGTTATTATTCGAACCATTATTGTAGTAATAATATGATTTGTTAAAACATTTACATATATTTTTAGCAACTTTCTTATAAAATTGTTTAACTTTTATATCGGAGTAATTATATAAATTCTGGGCAATTCTTTTAATGTGAGCTTTAAGGAATAATTCTGAGCATATTAAATATTTATTCTAGTTTTTTTAAAACATTTTAGTTTTTTCGTAATTCAATCCACCTTTAGAGACAACTCCTTCAATTATCTGACAGACTTGGTGGTCATGAATGGTTAGAATTACTCCCTAGTCGTAACCTTGGTAATCTCTTATCAGATGAACAATGAGTAATCATTGGTTTACGTCTAGGTTGTGATATAGTACAGCCCCATGCCTGCATCAAATGCAAATCACCCGTTGATTCAATAGACATGGCTTAAATTGTATATTTAGTCAAGGGAGACATCAACGCCACTCAGCTGTAAACCATATAATAAATAGAAGCCTAACAGCTGCACACATTCCAAACAATCTTGAACCATCAAATTTATCTCAAGTAGATGGTTTAAGACATGATGGTATGACAACCATACTTTGGGCCCTAGGCAAATCACTCATATGGGATTACACGTGTGTCTCATCATTCCCTTCAAACATAAATTTCAATTTAATAACACAGGCAGAAATTAAAAAGACAAACAAATACAAAAATTTTAAAAACTTCATATTCACTCGAGTAGTGACCTCTACTAACGGGCATTATTCACCTTCAACATTTATGTTTTTAAAAAATCTGCGTAATAAAATACGACTTTTCACAAATGAACCCAGAGAATTTCTTTTTATTCGGCAAAAATTCGAATATAAATTTTTTAATACAATAGGTTCCTTTTTGGGGACTTAATTATAGAATTTTATTTTTA